AAATCTGGCAAATTCGGAGCAAAATTCTCACTGATCGTCCAGAGATCCAGAACTCGGACGGATCTGGAAGCAGATTTTGATATTACAGGAGGCTACCGAAATTTCGGTGTAAATCGTACCGACCTGCTGAAACTCAAAAGAACAAAAATTTGAACCAAATGAGAAGGGCAGTGAATCTTTGACTTCATGAAAACGTGCAGAGGACTACTAATTAAGACCAAATTCAAATGAAATAAAATCAAAATTGGAACCCAAATTTGTAGTAATTTGAACATTCAATTGAATCAAAGGACTGCAGGGGACATAGCACTTTGAATCTCAAAATTGGATTTGGTTCGCACATCAAAACATGATTCAACATTTGGACTCAACAGAAACTTGAGTTGGACTTCAGAAGAATTTGGACATCGGGGCTTGATTTAGATCAAGCATAGTGGATGTGAACCGTTTTGGACATAATTAGATAATCAAATTTAATGAATGGATGATTACTGATATCATCATTAAGTTTGATTATGCAAGCGGGAGGTCAATGATGAAAGAAGGTCGCTCATTAAAATCCCAAATATAAGTGAAATGTTGGTTCACTCACAAAGCAATAATGCCTGTTGATTGAGATGGATACTGGAGATACCAGCAATCAAGATCTGTCTCTCTACAACAAAATATCAATCATCAACCACCTGAGTTGAAGAATTGAGATTCGAGTGCAGAAACAGTGGCTCTCCTACGAACATTTAGGAGGTCATAGCAAAAATACGAGGTCCCTACAAATGAAATGAGCACTTTGGATAACAACATGCCTATTCGTAAGCACATCGAACAACTGTGGGACAAGTACATCAGTATTCCTACGACAATCCCTACGAGGTCAAACAAGTAAATCGCCACCGAGAATGGAGAGTGGGATATGATGCAGGACAATGTGGTCTTTTTACAAACATTTTCTTAAGGAAGTCGTAGTGGAATACAGTACCAGTACCCTGCAAATGAGATACTTGTGGATAAACACATTGTATTGAATAAGTACACATGATATCATGTGGACACAAGTACGGATATCCACACAGTGGTGATCAAATCTAACAAGTGCGTTGAGTGACAAGGGCGACTCTTATACAAAAAAGGACCCATAGCAGAAAGGGGAAATGTTTGAACAAATTAGAACAAACTTCATGGGTTTCAAAGTCTCTTTTTGGTTCTATAATTAAGAAGAGACAGTTGGGTACCACAAACACCGGAATAGCAAGTCACTACGCCCGAAAAGCCTAAAAGGAGTTTCTCCCCAATCAGCAGTCGTGACTCCAAAGTTCGAAAGAATCCCCCGGTGATGAAAAGGGGGAGTCAACATCAAAAATCCAACGCACCGGATCCGCACATCGTCAAGCAGACAGAAGGCGTCACAACTACAACGCCACGCCACTCGGGATCTGCAACATTCGTACAAGCAGACAGAACGTCTACATTATTTCAAAGTACCCCTACGCACTATAAAATGTATACACATAGGTACACTAAAAGAGGTAAAATATATTATAGAACCCGCATGGGCCCGAAGAACGTGTTATTTGTACAACGTGACGTCCAGGGATGCTGCGCGGGTTGACAAGTGAATTCAGGTTCGAAACTGATCCTTATATACGGTTCAATAGAAGTCGACAGGGTTCGAACCATAAGCAAATATTATAGTGTATGCCAGACTATATTTGTTTAACATATATTCTCATATTCTATGAATCTATTAAGGTCTACAACAATCTAGATATAATAAGGGCCATAAAGCTTACGAAACCTGATCCTCTATCGACCAATAGATAGAGTCGACAAGGTTCAATCCGGAAATGGAAAGCTCCCCAACAACCCCGTTGATGGCCGTGTTGAATGCATATCTAAACCGGAGGCATGGTTTAAATTGCGCAATATGAAGCTCGCCTTGAGCCCGCCTTTTGGCGCCATTCCAGTAAAAAAACGCCTCGATGCTTACGCTCGAGTTTTTTGTTATGAGGCTGCCCTCAACTTGGTTGAGGCTCGCTCTTACAGGCCCGCTCACACTCACTAGCATGAGGCTTATCCTCACGTATATATATATTAAAACTACATAAATCTTGAAGTAAATGCCCGACATTGACTCTATAGGAGAGGAGGAAGAGGAGAGAGCAGTTCATCATAATGATGATTCAAATGAAGAACCCTTAGTGATGAAGTGCTGATGATTTATGAGTTCTTATGTGATAGTGTCATTGCTATTTATTTTAGAATTGGAATTATATGTTAATGAAAAGAATATGTGATTTGGGAAAGATAGAATTTTGAGTTGAATTATTCATGTTGTCTTATTATTGAGATATTTTGATTTCACTTCTCCATCTTATGTTTTTATTTTTTATATTATTCTTCATTAGTATTTAAAAAATTGCAATTTTTGATTTTGAGGCTTACGCTTCAAACGCTTTGAGACTTATCGGCCTCACGAATGAAAAACGCCTCAATACCGAAATCGCAATTTTAAACATTGCGAGGGGTTCCCAAATGTTTTCCAAATGCCTCCCAAATCCAAAGTCTATTTCAATAAATCCAAAGCTCCACCCAAAAGTCCACCACAAAATCCAAAATTCCAAAATCTCAAATTCCAAAAATTTTAAAATATGAAATCCAACATCCACACTTAAAGCAATTCACACCCTCCGCAACAGTCTGCCAGGGTGGACAAATTCAAATAAACTCTAGCTCATAAGAGCAAAATGCTAGTCGAAAATATCACTAGGATCTCTTTCAAACAATCTCTTGCCAGTAAGGAAGACATTAGTGTCTCTACCGGCAGTTTTCGCCGCCAGAATGGCACTGCAAGGTAAACGGTTATGACCGGGGCCCTCTGAACCGAGTGGTTTTGCCGCCAAATGGCACCACAGAGTAGGGTATGGCAAGAGCCAATACGCTCCTTAGGCGTTTAAATCTTGAAGTATGAATCAATAGGATATGATCAGTAGGGCACAAAGCCTCGGGTAGCAGAGGTGGATCAAAGATTTGTCCATTAGACAAACATCAACCCGTCTAATAGTCGTGGACGACAAGAACCCAGGGGTGCCGACAAAAGGGACTCTTGGCAGGTTGGGCGACCCTCCTGTGACTAAGAGACCAGGGACCACGATGACCCGGACACGGGAACCAGGATCGGGGATCGGGGTCTAGTCATCAATTGCCCCCACCAGTGCCGCGGGAACGACACGGAGGGGGAATGGCGATGGGTAATAGTCAATGTAAATTCCCAAATCCAAATCCAGTTCTCAAGTACCCAAATCAAAACCCAATTTCCAAATCCAATTTCTACCAATATCAATACTCTTTGCTGCTACTATATGCCAGATACATCTATGGATATAATGTATCTGATTGATGACTAGCCTTAATCGAAAGTTCTCTCTCGTGATCGGGAGGGGTAATTAACTATAGGGGCTTGCGCCTATAGGAAACCAGAACTCAGATTATAAAGTCCTCACAAAATGAGGGCGAAATCTCTGGGTAGTGTCTTATCTACAAACCCATCTGCCTTCCAAAATTTACCTCGGAACTTATTCAGTTAAAACTCCCTCGCCGAAATAAAAAGGAAAGCGCGGCGGGGAGGCCGGGGCTGAATTTTCGGAGCCCACACAAGGAAAACTTGGTATAGTAGTGTTTGGTATTCTATTTTTTTTGTATCGTCCAAAAAAAAAACTTAGATACTTAAATACTCTATAAAATCGGTCCCGTGCTAAAACGTGACAGTCAAACAAAAAATGAGAATATAAAGGAAAAAATAAAATTAAAAATCAAGTTTATTATACTAGAATCATAAGCAACTAGGAAAATAGCTAAAATAAAATCAAAATTTATGATGTCAATTTGCTAATGCTCATATCCTATATTCCTGATGAGCATAAATTTTGAGATTTGTATATCTCGGCCTCATTGGGGAATAGCCTCTTACACTTTGTAGCCAGGGGCAACTTCACACCAGCCCATGAACTTAAAGGCATCTTGATCAATGGTTGTTGTCAATCCATTGTCCGTCAGGCGAGCGCCACCTCAGAGCAAGTGGTGAAGTTTGCCATTGCTGCAACTTCAAATAATTCCCAAGGATGGTTACATCTCCCCAACATTGCAAGCATTTGACTATATCCACCTGATTCCTTTCCATAAATAGGTTATCATAGGGCACCACCAATCCTTAGCCAAAAGTCAAAGTGCACTTAGGTGGCAATCTCGGCTGTATCCCTCCAGCACACAAACAGCCTGTTGAAGCCACCCACCGCAATAAAAGGAAACCATGATTAGATCACCACTTTGGAAATGAATAATAAAACAATACCATTGGCAATATTAGTAGCAGGGTCACTAACCATTAGCTCCATCAAAACTATTGCCCCTAACTACCTGCTTCCTTTTCTATAGCTTCAATACTATATTATCTCTTTAATTAGTCTCCGGTTTTCAGTGGAAAAATTCATTTCATGGCTATTAAAAGATCATCTTAAGTACGGAGTAAGTTTTTATGTTTGTATTTTTTTTATTTTGATAGCATTCTCCTTGCTTTGAATGAGGTTTAATTTGCCTTAGCAAGCAATGGCAGCATCATCATAGTAGTTGGGAAGTAATAAAGAAATGCTAATAGCGGGCTAATAAATTATACATTAACCTTGTGTTCATGATTTTTTATCGGTAAATGTAGGGTAGTACATTTTTTAGGTCATGATGTTGCTATGAAGGCTTTAAGCGCACTTTCCAGTAATAATCTTTCCATCGTTTTGGGTTTTGTGGTGAAGTTGTAAACTTCTTTATACGCCCTATAACTATATATTGGTTAACTGCAGTAAATAATCATTGATGACTATTCTTGATTAATCACCATTAGTAGGTCAACAGGTTAGAACTTTCTTCTACGTTGAAAATAATACTGTTCAAACTGAGCAAGCTCCATCAAGACATAAAAATTTGGAAAACAATGCATAAAGAAGAATTCATACCAGAGTAGAAGTTTACAAACAAGTTAATAGGCCTATATTCTGAAGAGTGTAATTGGAATCCTACCAACCGCAAAGCTGCCTCATCCTAGAGAAATAACATAAAAGATCTCTTAACAAGAATCACTTGCTAGAAAGCAGTTGCTACATGCATATAATACTATTCCCATATTCTCAGAAGTTGAAAATTGGAATTTTTTCTCTAATTATTCTGGTACTCTAATTTGGCATCAGCAAAGAAGTGAATGGTTTTTAACACCAAGATGCCAACTGTTTTGTTATTTGAATCAAAATAGTAATGTGGATGGTTTATTGTTCTAAACAACTGAATGCAAGAAAAATGCCAAAACACACTCTGGCTCGCTGCAGAAAGGATATTGCAAGAACATCAAGCATGATTTGTGAACAAACTAAGGCGATAATAGACATTTTTCATTATTGATTACTGAATCACTTGTTTGGAACTTCTGCAGAAGCCCTTAATCAGCTATATATTGCATCACCATTCATTTGGTTGAATAAGCAGACAAAAAGCTTCTGAATAGGATAAAAGATGGCAAGCCAAACCTGAAGCAAAATGATAACTTCAGAAAACAGGTCACCCATTGGAAGAAGTTGCTTCACGACATCAGTGCTAATATTGAAAGGAATGTTGGACACTACCTGAAAATTACAAGTACATTGTTTATCGCAGCTCATTTTGTAACTTCATGGCTTCGTAAGATAAATAAAAAGTATTAGTTCATCCAAATTTCACAATATTATAGAGTAGAAAATGTAATTCATACTAGAACGGAAGAAAAAAAAACACCTGAAAAAGCTAAACTCTCTTATTTTATTGAAGAACAAGAATCAGAAAGTTCATCAGAAAATTTAAGTTCTAACCTGTCACATCCCAAGATTTAAGTGGAAGAACATCATTTCTATTCTTTTTTTTAATATGAAATCAATAGTCATTTATTTATCAACAAGATCAATATGGACATCCATAGCTAATTAATTATATTAAAGAAAACCAATAAAATGCAAAAAATGTAATTCACATTACTAATGTTAATAATTACAATCAACCACCAAAGTCCAAAACAATATATAAATAGTCACAGTGGCAACAAAAATATATAAACCAAAATCTGACATAAAAACTATAATAGCATCAGTACACAACCTCAAGCTGCAGTCTCCTTACCAAAAATAATTTAAAACCACATAATGAGCATAAAAGCCCAGCTAGCAATCAAAACTCTATCATTTTTTTTAATCATTGCTTTCAATACAAGGCAAAAGAATCAATATGTATGTTCAATTCTAATCAATATTAATCATCTGATGAGATACATGCTTGGAGTTACACAAGATTATCAAGAGAATTTAATAGAAGTTTCACCTTTATAAAATGGTGCGTCAATTCAAAGTAGGTTACAATAATTCTCAGTCTTCCACTTGCTTAGGCAAAGAATTGCATGAAGATTAACCAAAACACTTTCAATCAAATACAAGGTGAAGTAATGTAAAAGCTTGTAACACAAATCCAAAAGTTAATAATGAGGTGTTCGCCTTTGAGGATCTACTCTCTTCCCTAAGAATCTAGGTTGAGCAGAGAAAGATCTTCCACACTAGAAATGAAGTAACCACTAGGACGGACGAGCCGAGGACGTCGTTGTTGGGAAGGTAGCCGAAGTGGTGGAGAAAGATGGACGTCCAATGATGATCCAACGTCTCTTTGACCTTTGCTCGTCGATCACGTCAACTAAGGTGTATTGGATACGGTGGATGTATTCTTCAACGGTATTGTCGAAATCAAAGCCCACGTCAAAGAATGGCGATTGGAGGATGTCGACTTGATCTCGATCATCATGCACAAATCCAAAGTTCCATTCGGGTTCCTCCATGCATGATTTGCATGGAGATGAGAGAGCACGACAAAAAAACCCAAGAGAGGAGAGGTGGTGGCCAGCTTGGAGAGGTGGAGGGGAGAGGCTAGGTTTCTTGGTGGAAACTAAGTTAGGTTGGGGTGGAGGGGATTAATTCTAAATCTGAAATTACTCTCAGATTTTGAGTTAATTGGGAGGGAAATACTCTTAAAATTTGAATCCAAATAGGTGGTAATTAATTCCTTTAAAGGAGAGAATTAATGGGAGGGAGCCATAAGGGGGCCGGCGACATAGAGGGAGAGGGGTTTGTGGAGGAAAACTGAAATCAATTTCAGTTTTAAGTGAAATTGGAAGGAAAGTTATTTGAGATCAATTTCATATTTCAAATAAGGAGGAGGGGCATTGAATGAGCATTCAATGGGAAACCCCATTAAGGGGCCGGCGGCATCAAGGAGGAGGAGATTGGGGAGGAAGGGAGGGGGTTTCCAAATGCGTAATGATGATTAGGAAAGAAAAATTATTAAATACAATTTGATTTAATTTAAAATTGGATTCAAGATAAAGAACATTCCTAATTTGGATTTCTCAATTTGGAAAGAATTTGAAATTCGAAATTTGAATTTCAAAATGATGGCTAGAGGAAAAGAGGGGTGGTGGGTGGATGGAAGGGGGTTGGTGGCAAGGTGGCCGGTCGGTGGTAGGATGGCAGCTGGCGGCTTGGGCTCCAAGGGACGGTGGCAAGGAGGTGGGGGTCGATTTTCCAAGCCAATGGATGTGGTTGTCTTCTCTTGAGGTGAAGGGGGGGGGGAGAAATTGGTGGAGAAGAAAAGGAAATCGAGAATCAAAAACCTCACACTTTCCACTAGACTCACAAAAAGATCTAAGAGCTTTCTCCTCAAGAACTCATAAAAAGATCTAGAGGAGTTTTGGAACTCACAAAGAGATCACCAAGATAACTTTTCATTCATCAATAATCAACCCTCTTACATAAGAAAATGATCATATATATAGGCCTCAAAATGACAAAATAAACAAAAGACTAAAATGCCCCTTGGGCTACAATAGCGACCAACTACCCATAAGGGCAAAAACAAAAAAAAAATTGAAATAACATGATTAGTACATAAAATGCTAATACAGAAAATGCATCAAAAGTAAAGACTCTCTATCATGGTTATCGATCTCCTGTGTCGCCTCTGATAAACGCGTCGAAACCTCTTGTCGATGTCCCCATCATTCTCTCCGGGTGGGAGAAAACTCGACCCCGTCGAGTGAGTACTGTGGAAGCTCTCTGTTGGCTCAAGAAAAATGGCACGAATGCATCAATCCCGCTTTGCAGCCGTAGGATTCCACTTCCCCCTTAAGTCAGATTGAAATTAACCAGATTTCCCCTGAGGTTAGTGTCAGGGTTTATAGATCTGAGGTTCTTACTTCCTATGAGCGCAAGCACTCATAGTTAATTACCTCTCTTACTACATAAGAGAGAACTCTCGATTAAGGATGAAATAATTTTTAGTTATTTTTAGTCTCAATTGTGGGTAAGATGAAGATAAACCCGATCAAGATCCCATGGTTCCGTCGTCCCGGGTATA